CCCAAAGGACGTAAGAAGCCTTCCGCTTTCCTCTGGGCCTTCCACCTAGAAGAGGGCCCACTCCCCGGAGCAGGGGCCTCAGGGGCCGGCCTGCAGCTGGGCCGGTGCAGGCTGGGAGCCAGATCGAGGGCATCTGATTCCTAGTCCCGTCCCTTTCCCACTGAGCCACTCCGCCTCGCTTCTAATTTAATTAGGAGAACATTTAATCCCCCCGTGCATTTCAGAGACGGGTCTGAGCTGGCCGGGGCTGGGAGGCTCTGACTCAGGCAGCTCCACACGGCACTCCCGGGCGGGCTCCCACGGGGTTTCCTTGGCACCTCGTGCGGACGGAGGTGGTCTGGAGCTCCGAGAAGACAGGACACCGGTCCGGAAAGAGACCGGTCTCTGATGTGCCTGGAAGGCCCCCTCCCTCTTCCCCCTGTTCTCTGGCCCCGAAGCAGCCTCGTCGTCCTTCCCCACCAAGGTTTGCAGAACAAGGAGGTGGCCACTCACACAGTGCCTGGGCCTCCACCAGGGTCCGCGGGAGCGAGCCGCAGCTGGCCCTGGGGTCCCTGAAATGCCCCTGGCAACCCTGGTCCCATCCAGAGAGCTAGCCCCGCCGTCCCTGGAGCTGAGTACAGGGCCGAGCCTTGTGACACTTGCCCCGCTTCCAGAAGGCGTGGGGCTGGCCCTGGCCTCCCTGGCAAACGCAGAACTCAGGTGACCTTAGTAGTGACGTGGGTGAAAGCTGGGCCGCGGGGGCCTTGCTGGAAAAGAGAGATCGAGCGTCTCGGCATGAGACCGCAGGGCCCAGGAGAAAGCCAGAGACACGGAAATTCTCATGGAGGCACACGGGGCTGGTTTTGCTCAAGGACCTACAGGCTGTCTTGTCACAGGACGGCCCACAAGCACACAGTTGCTCGTGGCCACCTGGTAGGGGCTCCGCAGTGCCCCAGCCTCAGCTCTGCCTTCCCTGGAAGGCCCTCCCCGTGCCCATCTGTGCCCAGGGTGTCCCGCTATACTGTCCCCGGCGGAGCAGGACGGGCTGGGGGCGACTGGTAGACAGGAGCTGAGCCTCGCCTGTCCAGGATGCTGTGACAGAAGACATGGAAGGGGCCGGCGGTCACCACTTCCGGAGGAACCCGTCAGGGATGGGGAGGGGCCTCTCACACAGCCTGCCTTGGGTGTCCGCGTGTGCAGCCAGTGGGACAGACGTGGGCTCCTGGCCATGCTTGGCTGGCTTGGCCGCAGGGGTGGAGGGGGCTTCGTGGAAATGGCTGCCCTGTCCCAAGGCCCCTGGGCGAGGGGCACCCAGGCCACACCCGTACGCGGTCCCAGTCGGGGCCTCATGCTGTGGCCAGTTCGGGCCTAGCTGCCCACTTCCAGGTGTGCTAACAGGCATGCCGAGGCACCCACACCCCTCACCACCTCATCTCAGGTGAGGCCGGCCTGGCCCCTGTGCGGGTCCTGCCTGCCGGGGGGTGGGAGCCACGTCTTGGAGCCCCTCCCAGCCTGGGGCTTCAGGACTCCCAGGGAGAGAGAGCCTGAGAGGAGACAGAGCCCCGGAAGGGTCCCAGGCCCCGTACTCGGGGCTCAGGGAGCTGGCGTGGAGGCCTCGACAGCCAGAGGGCTTGGCTGCCTGGGCCTCCCCGGGGTGAGGTTGGCCGAGCAGATGTTGGGAAGACGGGTGGGAATCTGATGGCTGCAGATGGGGAGGCACGAGGATGCACACAGAGGTGCCCTCCCCCGCCCCCCCCCCCCCCCCCCCCCGCCGCCACTGTCCTGTCAGTGGCCGTCAGTGGCCACAAGGCAGTAGATGCGGCAGGAGCCCAGGAACTCCTCCTGGCTCCTGTTGGGGGCAGGGCTCCTCTCCTCTCTCAGAGTTGGGGAGGGGGCTTTCCCGCCCCCTCCCCATTGTCCTAGATGCCCCATCTCCACCTTACGCCGGCCCCTCGGAAACCCTGCGGCAAGGCTCTGGGTGGGGGACGCAGGTGCGCACGGGGCTCCCCTCCGCTGGCCCTGGAAGGCGGTCGGCCTGGAAGGGGTGCATCAGGCTGCGGCCCGGCTCCCTAGAGCTGGGGGCGGGGCAGGGCTGCATGGGGTCTCCGGGGGCTCGCGTGGGGGGCTGGGGTGGCCGAGAGCACTCTGTCTCCCTAACACGGTACGCCCCGGCGACTCCCTAGATCGCACCAGGGCTGCTCAGGGCCCCCGGCTCCCCGCCCCTCATCCCGGCCAGAGGCCCCGGAAAGAGGAGCTTCGCCCAGCCCCAGGGACCTTCCCGTAATCAAGGCTGCAGTGACCTCACCTCCCTGGGGCCCAACGGGTGGGGAGAGCTTGAGATGGAAACAAAATGTGTCTTTATTTATGCTTTTAATTTGAATCCTGGATCCGACCCAACGTGGTAATACATTGAACATCAGTAAAATGCTGGAGAAGGACGAATCTGTTTGTCAGCAACTGCTTCCCACCCTCTCTGCCCCCTGCGAGACCCCCGTGCACACCCCTGCCCCTCTCACACACACCAAGGCAGGTGCCCGCGGGGCCGGGCTGCCTGCAGCAGCCTTGACGTGTCCCCGAGCAGCCGGAGCTGTTCAGTTGGGGGCATCCGTCAGGAGGAGTGCCGGGCAGGAGGTGAAGGCACGGAGGGCAGTCATGGCGCCCCCAGAGCCACCTCTGCCAGCCGTGGGGCTGGGGGGGGGGGGCCTCTGCCCAGCCTGCAGCCTCGGGGGCGTCTAGGTTCCGAGGCCCCCCCACCTCTCCCTGGGCCCGCATCACACGCCCTTCACCAGGGCTCCCCAGGGCACAGCACCCTGTACTAAGGACACGTTCACGCAGATGCCCTGCGGTCTCCACCTTGACCCTGACCTGATGGGACAGCACACCTCGGCTCCCTGCTCCCAGCACCCACCACTGACCAAGTGCGGTAGACAGATCTGCTGGGAGAAGCCCTTGTAGGTTCTAGCATGGGGACCCGGCTGGGCAAGGACTGGGGTGTAGGCCCGGACAGCACCGGGGGTGACAGGAGACACCCCCCCCCCACCCCCCCCCCCCCCCCAGCCAACCTGCCACACTGGGAGTGCTGGCCCGAGAAGGCCCACGGCGGGCGTTTGGGACGGCGAAGCACCCAATCCGCAGCAAGCATCCGGGCCGCTCCGGTCTGACGGCCGCAGTTTTAGAAGAGAAGTGGCCCAGTGCCCCTGATGACACTGCCTCTGCTGGCTTGGATCGCCTCCCGGGGCTCCCCGGGCAGGTGGGCAGGCCGTGGCCCCGGGGAAGCTTGGTGCATGCTGACGGCCCTCACCCCGAAGGGGTGACTGTTGCGGGCTTGGCTGTGGGCCCCCTGGATCCCCCGTCCTTTATCACCCTCACCCTGGGCCTCCCTGCGGGGATCTCGCAGGGCCAGGGAGCTGGTGAGGCAGCCCTGTCCTTCCAGGGTGGGACTCCTCCTGTGTGTCGAGGGGCTGGGCCACAGCTGGGAGAATGAACGGGCTGACGGGAGAGAGCAGCGAGAAGGGGCAGCGGGAACCGTGACGCCCGCGTGGAATCCACCTGCCTGAGGGTCATGGCTGTCCCTGCCCCGAGTAGCCACTGCCGCCGGAGTCGCACACACCACCAGCCACGGAACGCCGGCTGTTAGCACCCTGCGGTCTCTCTTGTGCCCTGGACTCTGAAAACGCCTCGGCCCAAGTGCCTAAGTCCACACTCTGCCTTCGGGCCCCGGCCTGGACCCGCACGGCCTGGCTTCCCTGGCTGTTCACACCTCTGCCCTGGCACGTTCGCCCAGCAAGCCTGTCCGGTCATCTCCGGGGTGGATGGGGGCCCAGAAGCCCCCTCCGCTGCCGGGTCCATGAGGACAAGTCGCCCCTGCTTCCCAGGGCCCCAGCGGGCTCACGCGAGTCCGGTAAACAGGTCCTGCACACAATGCCCTCCCCCACCACCACCGGGTGAGGCCTGACCCCCCGTGAGCCTGGGGGGAGGGGGTGCTGCGCAGGGAAAGACGGCGGGCAGGTCCTGTCCTGTCTGATCACGGTACCGTCGTGACACAGTCCTGCCTTCCTCTTTCGCTGGCCACCCGACTCCGCCAGTCCCGCGTGGGCGGCCAGGAGGCCCTGCCATTTGGGTCCTGGCTGTCTCAGTCCCCGGTCACCTGCCGGGCAGAGCCGGCAGGCCTAGGGCCTCGCTCTGACAGAGGCGCACATGGCTCACGACAACCCTGAGACCCTGGGAGAACGGACACACCCTCCGGAGAAACGTCCGTGGAGAGGACACCGTGTCAGCAAGTGACTCTGGGAAGGGCTGAGGGGAGCGCGCGCGTCCCAACACAGAAGGACTCCTCCGGGGAGTCCCCGACGGGGCGGCGGCCAGACGGCGCCCGAGTGCCCCACTGACCCCACCACGTGCTGTCACCACTGGGTGCCCCTGCCGGGAGCACTGAGTCATACATCGCAAGGGAATCACACCACGGCCGGGCCCTGGGGATTGGCCTGGCCATGCCGGCATGGTGGGGGAGGGCGGGCGTGCGTCCCAGGCCAGCTGTGCCTCGGGGGAAGGCCAAGTGGAAGGCGTGGAAAATCAGCCATTTCCTCCACCTGAAGGAGCCCCTGAGGACAGCCGCGGCATCTGCCCCTTGGCTCTGGCCAGGGTTCTACGGGGAAACGCTGCTGAAAAACAAAGTCGTCTCTCTTTTGGGGGGCGGGGGAGGGGGCAAGGGGAGAGAAAAACCATCTTCTCAGACGCTCAGAGCACAAAAACGAGTGGAAAATGATCAGTTTGGTTTTCCATAAGTCCAAACAAGAGGATCGTGTTCCCAGACTTGGCGGGAGGCGCCCCCGCTCTCCTCCCCGCTCGGTGCCTGGGCGCTGGAGCCGGCCCCTGGCCACCGGTGGCCCCCAGGTTGCCGAGGGCAGGCGGCAAGCGGCGGGCCCCGGGAGAGCAGGCCTGGGCCCCAGAGCGGCCCCGAGGCGGCCCTCTTGAGCCCCGCGCCCCTCCAGCCCGTTCTCCGCGGGCGAGCGGCCACTCACTGTGACACGTGCGTGATGGGGACCAGCGGCGTCTCCCCCTCCAGATCCAGGTCCTCGGCCACGCTGTTGGTTCTCAAAAAGTGGGTCGTGCTCACTTCCAGCAGCATGGGGCTCTTCACTGTGGGCAAAGGTGTGGGGCAGCACGTTAGGCCTCCACGCAAGGCTCGCCGGGGAAGGGCCCGGGGCTGGCCAGAGCCGGGCTCGCGTGTCCGGCCCCCGCCCCCCACCCCGCCGCGGGGCAGACTTGCACGCCCCGAGCCCTCCCACAGACTGACAGGACATGCGCCTGCAGGGATGCGCGAGGGACGGGGACGTTACACGGGGCCTCCGCACGGGGATCCGGTGTGGGGGTTGAGGCGGCCCCCCTGAGCCCGAGGCTGGGGACCAATGGAGGGCCCCCGACAGCCCGGGCGTCTAGGTCTGTCTCCGGGTTCACCCTGAACGTTCAGGCACAACGATAAAACACGGCCGACAGGCACAGGTCCGGTGAGGGACCCGGACCCCCGCCACCATGCCGTCCCCGTCACGCAGACGGAGGGCTTCACGTCAGCGGAGACCCAGGGCAGTTGCGCTCCTGCCCGCAAGGAGTGGCAAGCCTGGGAGACAGGGGCAGCCGGTGAGCTCCCGGCCCCTCGCTCGGTTCACAGCGTCACATCTGCGACCCGTACCCGCCACGAAGGGTCAGCGTAACGTTCAGGCTCCCGGGCCCACCCCCTACAGTCTGGTGCTGGTGCTCAGCACTGCTGAGAATACGTTATCTGTCCCCTGATTCTCAGTGTGGATTGATTTTTTTTTCCCTTCAGTTGACGTTTTTATTGTAAAAGAAATTAAGTACTCATTGTAGAAAGTGACACAGTTCAAAGGTCCACGAAGGCTCTCCTTCAAGGTCAACCACCGACGGGATTCCTAGCTCATCTCTCTCTGCTCAGCGGCCGCTGACACCAGGTAAGACCTCTTTTTTTTTTTTTTTTTTTTAACCCACATGAGACAGTGCTGTCCCTGTCACTGTGAGACACGCTCATCTCATTTTTCTGCAGGTATACAGATGTGGGGCTGCGTTTTGGTAGTTGGATAATAGTCTGTGGTTCACGCCTGCCACATTAACTCAACCATTCGGTGTTTGATAGCTCCTTAGGCTCTCTTAGCTTTAAGCCATTACTTTGAGTCGATGCTGAGCCACCCATTTGTATGGAAACCTGACACTGGGGCTGGGTGAGAGGGTTCTCCCTAGGTAATTTTAATAGATGTTGCTGGATTGCTTTCCCAAGAAACTAGCAATTCAGACTCCACCAGCAAGCGGTGTGTGAATATGACAGCTCCCCCACATCCAGGCGCGAACCAGCCATTGGCACCCTTCCCCGGGGCGTGCCACGCGTGGATGAAGACCGGATCTGGTTTTCCTTTTGTGCTGAATGCCTTTTGTGGCTTGGAGGCCATTTGCATTTCCTTTTGCAGAATTGCCTGTTCATATCTCTTGCCCATTTTTGCTTGTCAATCTGTAGGAAGTGTTTATATATTAAAGATGTTAACTTTCTGTTACATCAGGCATGGATATCTCCCCCCGTCAATCTTTGGTCTTTCAGCCCTTAGGATGGTTGTTTTTATCACAGAGAGTGTTTTATGTGTTTAAGGTGATAAGAGCTATCTTATGTTTTGTGAAAAAGGAAGATCTTCCCACTTCAGAGTAATACGGCTGCCTCCTAAATTATTTGTAATATAAACCCATGAATGTTGTGTGTGTGTAAGTTTTAACACATTTGGCATTTCTGCCTAACGTTACGGGTGATCGTCAACAATCTGAAAATGTAAAGGTATTGGATACACTCCTAAGAGACTAAAGCATAAACTAAAATTTCTTGAGAAAAATCACAAAAGAAAATCTCTGGGCCTCGGGTTTGGCACTGAGTTTTGAAGCACAAGACTACAGGCTCAATCTGTGAGGGGCAGAAATGGAAATGTTGGACTTGATCAAAATCCCAGGCACTTGCTGTGCAAAAGACGCCGCTAAGGGACGCAGAGATAAGCCACGGACTTGAAGAAAGCGTTTCCACGTCAGCTGTTTGGGCAAGGGCTTGTATCTAGAATATACGAAGAACTCGTGCAAGCAGGTAGCAGGAAAGCCCCTGACCCGATTTATGAAGTGAGTTACAAGCAAGTACCTAAAAAGATGCCCAGCTCAGTCGACACCGGCAGCTGTTAGGGAAATGCAAGTTAAAGCCACAGCGAGATGCCACGGCACCCTCACCAGAATGGCTGAAATCAAAAAACAGAAACCGAAGCCTGATGTTGCCACGCAAGCAGGAGGACACGGAGCGCCTGGAACTCTCCAGCCGCTGGCGGAAGTGCAGAACGATGCAGCCACCTTGGAAAAGACATGGGCGGTCTCTTACAGAGTTGACCGTGCACTTGCCATGTGATCCAGGAGTCCTTCTCCCAGGGATTTACCCAAGCGAGTCGGAAATCCACGTTCACAAACACCTGTACGTAAGCGTGCGCAGCAATTTCGCTCACAGTCGCCAAAACCCGGAAACAGCCGAGATGTCCTTCAGTCGGTGAAGGGACATACCGCCACGTCCGTACAGTGCAACAGCACCCAGGACCCGAAGGAAATGAACTAAGAGGTCCTGCGGCAACGTGGGGGACACTCGGATGCATTTTGCTCAGCAGTGAGAGAAGCCAGATGTAAAAGGCCGCACATTATATGATTCCATTTATATGACATTCTGGAAAAGGCAAAACTACAAGGACATAAACCAGATCAATGGTTGCTAGTGTTTGGGAGGGGGGAGTATCTGACTTCCAAAGGCACGCTCAAGGAAACTCCTAGAGCTGCCGAACTCCTTCGTAGGGTGCTATGGTGGGGGACACACGAATCCAGGCATCTGTCAAAACCCACAGGGCTGCAGATCTCCAGGAATGAATTTTACTGTATACAAAGAAAAAAAAAAAAAGCCCCAGCCAGCCTGTTGGAGGGTCCTAGGAATGAAAGCAGACCGTGAAAAAAGTGAGTCCCGTGTTAGGAACGTATGACAGTACCTACCACACGGCACGGAGAGGAAGGGAAGGAGGAGGCGGCCTACGAAGCCTTGGGAAACAGTCTCTTGACTGCCATAACCGTTAGCGCTCCGGCCGGTACTTAGGCTTCTGGGGGGTGGAGGGGGGACCGCACATACACGGGTTAAACAAATAAGTAAAGAAAGTAACACACCGAGTGTGTGTGTGGAGTGGGTGGGCGGGGCAGGAAGGAGTCCTGTGGCCAGAAATGTTGGTACGAACTCCTACTTCGCTAAATATACCACACGTGTGTACTCGGGCTGCGTGCACACACCCCCTGGCCCTGCCCACTGGGAAGTCCAGAAGCAGTGACGGCCCAGGAGCAGCGGTCACACCCCGTACCAGACCTGGTGCCTGAAAGTCACTCGCTTCCCGGTAAAAGGAACCAGGGCTCTCTGGCCAAATGAGGATTCTGGGGCAAGGCACATACACGACGAGCCTCAAGCGCTGTTCAGCGCCAGAAAGGAAGGGGACACGCAAAACACAAATGGAAGGGACGGGAGACATGTCAGACGGACGCAGGAGCTAACCCAAAAGGACTGTCAATCCAATGGCCAAAGCTAGAACGTTCTGAGTGACACAAATAAATAATAGTATCGAATTCCGGCCCAAAAAAGAGGTAGGCCTGAGTCCGTACGGATACAAATCAACAAACAAACGACCGCGAGAGAGGGACAAATCTTCCTCCACGGATGGACGGTCAAATTGGCAGGTGAAGCTTCAAGGAGAAACTTCAGAGTGTCTTGCCTCAGATATTTCCTTGCCGCTGTGGTGGCTGTGACAGCTGTGGTGGCACGAGCCCCCTCCCCCAGAGTACAGCCGACTCAGGACTCGCTCCAACCACCAGGCTATGGAAACGGGAAACCGGTGCCCGGGGAGCGGAGGGACCTGTCTGACACCATCTCAACCGCACGGGTCATGGTTAGCAACACCAGTGACAGACCACGCTGATGTCGTGGACCCTGATACGACGCGGTGGGCAAAGCTGACTTCCGTGGCATTCTCCCCCCAAACCTGTACCCCCAGGCTCCCGAGATGCCAGACAAACCCGGACGTACTCCTCAAGCGTCAAGGTCGACGAAAAGCAAGGGAGGACCGAGGAGGCGTTTTTGCAGATCGGAAGAGACCTGCTGGATAGGAGCGCACTCGGTAACCGTACTCGGTGGGTCTTGGGACGGAAAAAGGACATTAGTAGTTGAACTGGGAAAATCCGCACGAGTGAGCTGGACTGTGCCTCATAATAGTGTTGCAACTTCTTAGTTTTAATAACGGTGCAATGATTACAGAAGGTGGGGGCATTAGGGGAGGCCGGTAAAAGTGGGGGTGGGGACTGCTAGTTTTGCCTTTCATGTAAATAAAAAAAAAGCATTCTGAAAGCTGAAGCAAAAAACTAAAAAACCCTGAAGTCAAAAGATAAGCAAATCCTCTATACGATAGTAGGGAAAATTCTTCGGTATTAATGAAGGACGTACAAGCACTCTAAGGGGGAAATTACCAAACCTTAGTGAGAGGCATTCAGGAAGATAGAACTGAATTCGGAAATACGCTTTTGCTCCGTTGCCGAGAAGGCTCCGTAGCGAAGAGTCTCCTCAGACCTTCACACCCCTGGCACCCGGTTCTACAGTTGGTCTGGAAAAGCAAAAAGCTAAATCGACCACGTTCTTGAAGAGCAGCGGGGTAGGAGCGCTCGCTCCACCAGGCACCGGCGTTTCTCGAAAAGCCGTGGTCATCGAGACGGCGTGTTGTGGATACGCAGCGTGGCAGTCGGGCCAGCAGGACGGGGCCGAGTGTCCGGAAATAGCCCACCTGCACAGGGACGCTTAGCTGTGTACCCCAGGCGGCCTCACGCGGCAGGCAGAGGATGTCTGGGGACAGTTGGCCGTCCACGTGGGAGAAACGTCCCATCGGACCCTCATGCCTCACACCAAAACTTCATTCTTAGCATTCCGGGCGACTGAAGACCTAACGAAGACAAGCAAAGCTCTGAAGCCTGTGGAACCGAATCTAGAATAGAGTCATGACCTCAGGCTTTGGAAGGGCTTCCTGAAAGTTCCAGTATCCACG